CCCCGTCTGCCCTCCCTCCCTCCCTCCCTTATTCATTCTAAATGTTTTATTTACTTTTTGTTGTTTTCACTTATTTATTTTTTGAAAGAGAGAGAGCAAGCTGGGGAGGGGCAGAAAGGGGGGGGAGGGAGAGAATTCCAGGCAGGCTCCACACTATCCGCGCAGACCCTGATGTGGGGCTCGAACTCACAAATGGTGAGATTGTGACCTGAGCCGAGATCAACGGTCTGAGGCTTGACCGACTGAGCCACCCCAGCACCCCCAAACGTACATCCCATTTTTAAAAGAAATAGATACTGATTTTTGTAAAATAGGTACATTAAAAGGTAAATATTCATGAAAAGTATCTTCTTATTTAAAGAAGAATTCTGAGTTTTGTCCAGAGACTTCCCTCATCTAGTGAATGCTTGTTATATTTATTCTAAGGTCAGAGAAATTGAAAGATGCGTGTCAGAAGCCTTCAATGGCAAAAGTGAGTTTGAAGTTACAGTGGGAACCAGCATTCTTACTCGGGCGGAGTTTTAAGGAACATCTCACGGTGTTCGGTGCACATCTCCGTTGCGGGCGCCATTAGAATCCGCTGAGCTGGCCCTCCCTGGAGGGTGAAGTGGGGTCCGGGCACACTTGTGCCCCCATCGTTGGCGTTGAGGAACTTAGTCCCAGCTGCCAACATTTTGAAACATGGAAGAGATTAGAAGTGGCCCAGACAAGGAAGTCCCTGACTCCACGTGTCCCTGGGGGCCCTCCCCCCGCCCCCTCAGCTCAGTAAACATGGGAAGAAGTCTAATCTCCTAATGGCAGAGATAAATAAATTAATTCACCGACACAGTGTTTTGCTTGTCCGGTCGGCACCCTCTCTTAATGGAATCTCTGGTGCCAGCAGCGGTCTGGGAAGACCACCGTTCACTGCCATGGGGTCACCACCGCCGTGTGGAGGGCAGCTTGGAGCCCGCACTTCTGCCTCAGGTGTTAGGATTTACGGACAGGGCTGCTGACCGACATGCCCTCTGTAACTGCACACGGGGTGCAGGCCGCGACGGGGGGACGGCCCAGGGTCTTCGGGCTGCCCTGCCCCTGCGCACGGCCGGGTTACTGGTGTATCTTCTCAACTGCTTGCGACCCATGTGACACTGTCTCTCTTCAGTTTCAGTTCATTATACTGAGACTGTTCCCAGAAGCCCGAGATCCCCTCTGTCCGGAGGACACAGCCGACCCTCCCTGGAGGCCCTTGTGCCGGCCCTCTGCAGACTGGCAGCAAGCTGCCCTCTGTCTGTGGAAACAGAGAACCTTCCAGGAACTGTTGAAGGAGAAAGAATTTCACGTAGGTCCCACTGCCCCTTTCCTGCTTCTCCCCTCGTTCTAACTCACAAGAGTTTGCGGGGAGATTGGGGGCCTCCTGAGGATATGGCGGGCAGGCAGCTGGGCCTGACCCAGTGACCCTGGAGGAGCACAGAAGTGGCTTTGATTGAAATCGTTATTGGGATCGTTGCAGATTCACACAGTTGTAAGAAATTAGAAAGGTCATTTCCACTCTGCCCACTTTTCCTCGGCACTAACATTTTGTGGAAGATTTTGAGGGTGAATGAAACAGACTTCACGCCTACCTGCCAGGCTCCCGTTTGGGGTGGGCTCCTCTGGGCAACATCACTGTGAGCCTGGCCTACTCCGGCCCCCCTGCCCACGCTGCCTCTTCATAACTTCTCATTTATTCCGTGGATGTTTATCTCCTTATTTTGGTCTTTAGAGGAAAAATTCTCAATTGTTTTATCATATATTTTTTCAATTCTGCTATTGTTAATCCCACGAATGACCCCAGAGCAAGTGCAATAGTCTTTGTGTGACATAACGAGTCAAGAGCAGGGAACGCTAGCCGCCCACCTGCAGCGTAACAGGTGGCTCAGGGCTGCTGTCCCACCTGTGGGTGATCACGGACGTGCTTCTCTTGGTTTGACCTGCTCTACGTCGCTGGGCTTTGGTCTTCACACGTAGGCAGCGTGCTGTGCGCGTGTTTCTGTGATGTGCCTTTTCACACACACTGTGAGGTTTTGAGATTAGTTCGTGTTAATGAGTGGAATTGTTCCAAGAATTTTATTACTTTTTAAGGTTTATTTTTTTTGAGAGAGAGAGTTGGGGGGGGACAGAGAAGGAGAGAGAATCCCAAGCAGGCCCCGCACTGTCAGCACAGAGCCCAGCATGGGGTATGAACTCACGAACTGTGAGATCGTGACCTGAGTTAAAATCAAGAGTCAGACGCTTAACGGACTGAGCCCCCTAGACGCCCCCCCAGGAATTTTAAATTAAGAAATATGCTACCAGGGATATTTGGAGCATGTTACTACACATTTATTCTCTAGTTAACTTGCCCAACTCAAGTGGACTAGAAGATTATTTCCTGCCTCTGTTGTGCGGTAACCTGAGAGGTTTGCAGATGCCGCGGATCAACTTCAGAACCAGGCGGTATGCTGGAGAATTCAGTTTAAAAGTGCCAGTTGGAACTGTTTCATCAGCTTCGCAGTCAGACGTAACCTAAGCAGTATGTGGGGGCTTGGCGCCAGCACCTCAGTCAGTCGGCAGGAAGCGGCTGAGAATGGACACGAGTGTAGGCACTGAGGCCTTCCCCTGAGTCTTTCTGCTGCGATGTGTGACATCGGAGGGACTGTGCAGCAGACTTACAAAGCTGACCTGTGCTCTCTGCGTCCCATCCTCACCGTCGTGTTCATTTGGTCCTTTTTCTCTCAGTTAACTTACAGAGACTGGTTACGGCTGGAACTAGAAATTCAACCTGAGGTCGACTGTCTTTCAGATACAGAAAGGTAAGTGTTGAAAGGGATCTGCCCTTGACAGTGGTACAAGGCTTTACGCATTGTCTTAAAGCCTAAGTCTTGTCATTACATCTCAGTGTTCAATTTGATATATATACCTATGAGCACAGTTTTATTCATTCATTCCTTAATTCAAGAAATGTTTATGGAACTCCTAGTGTGTGCCACGCACTTCTAGAATGTTCTAGAAACTGGGAAGTGCGTTGTGATGAGACAAGTCTGCCCATCTGGTACCTTTGTGTGCTTCTACTCCAACGCCCCTGACTGGGCGCCCTCGCCAGGTGTAAACCTGAGCAGGCCGGGCGGCAAGCAGGCGGGCAGACAAAATGGATTAGAAGTAGGGATGCACACTCAGGACCCCACGGTTAGGGGGTGCATCAGGGGCAGATGTACGTGCCTCAGGTGGGAGAAGAGCAGGCGGGGCGACTGTCGTGAGGGGCTGTGGTGGAGTCCTGGCCCTCTGGGGTCCTAAGGGAGCTTGCCAGAGTTCTCACCTGGCGCGGCCGGCTGGGCAGGCACAGGGCTGACGGGTGCCGTGTGCAGTACTGGCTCTGAGCTGGTGGAGCAGGTCCCTGGGCCAATTACTCAGACCATAGGGACGGGGGATGTGCTGTCCTGGGCGTGAGCGTGGGGTGCTGACAAGCCCCTGCATGTGGGGCTGTGGGAGTCAGGGAGGGAAATGTGCTGTAGGTGCAATGGAGCTGGTGGGGCACAGGAACCCTGGGGGCAGCTGAGGGCAGGGGTCAGCGTGAGCCGTCCTGAGCCACTGTCCCTGTGCAGTCAGAGATGCGGCTCGCATGCCGGGGGTCGGGGGGGGGGGGGGGGATTCTGTCCCGTGGTGTCAGATTGCAGAGGAAGTCAGAACCGTGGAAAGAACTGCTTTTCCGACAAGGTGGATGTTTGCTTGCTTCTCGGGTCTGTGTGCAGCCAGCTGTGAGTGCTTTCTGCACAGGCGCACGCGCCCTGGGGTCTCCCCGCTCTCCCTCCTCTTTCCACTGGGAAAAGGAAAAGAAGGAATTCATTTTTTGGCGTGAGGATCCATAACAAGCATTTCTTACCCTCAGGTCACTGTGTGCTAAGTTGTGCTTAGACCTTTTCTGTTTTCATTCAACAGGCAATGCTCAGATACATTGTCTAACAATTTCAGATGGCCTGGGTGAAGCACCAGCCTTTATAACCTCTGTTCCTTGCCCACTTGTGGGTTTACGGAAACGTCTTAGTCGTGGCTCTTTCTGCATAAATAGACTACAGTGTCATGTGCCTCTCTTGTTGCGGCTTTAGTTAGTACATCCTCAGGATCCTTCCCATGAGCACCTGCAGAGTCTGGGCCAGATGTGGGCATCTTTGCTGACGGACCCTGGAATCACGACCCTGGGGATGGCCCCCGAGGAGGCCTTGATTGCAGTAGAGGGCCTTCCCGCCACCCAGAAGCCCCAGATCTCGCCACCCACCATTGTTGTGCCGCTGGCTGTGGGCTCTCATCCTGGCTCCCGGAACCACTGGTTTACAGCCTTTCCCAGACCTTGGTGTTTGCTGTTGCAGGTGGGACTTCCAGCAGTGGGCGATCCATGAGTACTTCCTCCCCAAGCCCTCGGCTGCGGGCGGCTGCGACGGGGACCTGCAGGTGGCGTGCGCAGTTCTTGTCGACGTGCTGATAGACTTCCGCCAGAGGTTGGGAAGGCTGATGCCAAAAAGCATCTTACTTTTAGTCTTGATTCTTCCAAGGTGTTTTGTCTGTCCACTTTGTGTTTGACAAAGCACAACTGAACACGTCCTGCTAGTGGGTCTGAGTCTGTGCGGAGTAAAGGTAAGCTTTCTGGATCCGTTTTCTTTGTGTGCAGATTTGCCAGCGGCAGTGACTTGTCTTTCTGCTGTCATCCGACATGTGGGTCGTGAGCGTAAAGGGCGGAAGAAGTGGGCGGCCGGTGGCACCCTCCTAGAGGGCTGCAGTGCGGACGTGGGCTCACTGCCGTGGGGCAGAGCTCCCCGTACCGTGGCCGCTGGGCTGGGCCGTTAGCATCTTTGTCCTCCTATTGTGTGAAGATGATGAGTAAAATCAATTCCATTTTCCACATTTTGGGGGATGTATTACTTCCATCCTAGAAAACCAGTCTTGTTACCCTTGTTCCCCTTTACCTCCCGCTGCGCCTCTTCTCCACAAGGATCTGTAAACGTATCGCCTGGTTAGCGGAATTCTTACGAACTCCTGTTTCAATACAACCAACAGCCCTGGAGTTCTTCCTACCAGCGCCTAGTGGCTGGGAGCAGCACGTACGGCACCAGGCAAACGGACGTTGGGGCCAGGCCTCTTGTTCTCAGTTTTTCTCTTGGGAGGGTAAACGAGTATGTGTGCACGGAATGAAATCAGTGTCTCCATTCCTTCCCTGTCCCCCAGCTCCTGGCCACCCTGAATCTATTTTATGTCTCTGGATTTGTCAGTCCTGTCACACAAATATGTGTGTGACACATTGTGTCTGGCTTACTTGGAATAACGTTTTCAAGGTTAGTGTATATTGTAGCATGTCCATCGAGTGACAAATGGATAAAGAAGACGTGGTGTGTGTGAAATCATATATATATAGAATGGAATATTACTCGCTGATCAAAAAGAATGAAGTCTTGCCACTTGGAACCACATGGGTGGAACTAGAGTAGATTATGCTAAGCGAAATAAGTCAGAGAAAGATAAATATCATGATTTCACTCATCTGTGGAATTTATGAAAGAAAACAGAGGAACATAGGGAATAGAGAGAAAAATAAAAAGAGACAGGGAGGGGGCGCCTGGGTGGCTCAGCTGGTTAAATGGCTGACTCTTAATTTCGGCTCAGGTCACGATCTCATAGTTTGTGGGATCGAGCCCCATGTCAGGCTCTGTGCAGACAGCACAGAGCCCATTTGGGATTCTTTCTCTACCCCTCCCCTACTTTCTCTCTCCAAGTAAACATGAAAAAATTTTTTTAAAAGAGAGAGGGAGACAAACCATAACATACTCTTAAATACAGAGAACAAACAGGGCTGCTGGAGGGTGTTGGCTGGCGGATAGATGGGCGATGGGCATTAAGGAAGGCACTTTTCGGGCCGAGCACTGGGTGTTGTAAATGATTAATCACTAAATTCTCCTGAAATTATTATTACACTGTATGTTAACTAACTAGAATTTAAATAAAATTTAAAAATCGATATATCGTAGCATGTATCAGAACTTCATTCTTTTTATTACTGAGTAGTATCCCATTGAAGGATGGACCACGTTTTGTTTATTCATTAGTTGATGGACATTGGGTCTTCCCCTTTTGACTATGAATAATTCTGTTGACAACATTTGTGTACAGGCTTTTCTGTGGTCCTGTGTTTTCATTTCTTTCGGGCATATGCCTAAGAATGGGGTATGCTGTGTTACACTTTAACTTTTTTAGGAACTACCAGACTGTTTTCCAGCATCAGAGGGTTCCAGTTCCTCCCCATTATCATCAACATAGTTGTCATTATCTTTTACTTATACCCCTCCTAATGGACATACACTGGCATATATCATTATGGTTTTGATTTGTTTTTCCATGGTGGCTATTGATGTTGAACATATTTTCATTTACGAGTTGGCAATTTGTGTATCTTCTTTGAAAATGTCCTATCCTTTGCCCATTTTAAAATTGGGATGTTTTATGGAGTTGTGTTCCTTATGTATGCTATATACCACATCCTTATCAGATATGAGTGGCAAATATTTTCTCCCCTTCTGGGGCGCTTGGGTGGCCCAGTTGGTTGAGCATCCGACTTCGACTCAGGTCATGATGTCATGGTTTGTGGGTTCAAGTCCCACGTCGGGCTCTGTGCTGACAGCTCAGAGCCTGGAGCCTCCATCAGATTGTGTCTCCCTCGCTCTCTGCCCCTCCCCCACTCATGCTCTGTCTCTCACTTCGGAAAAGAAACATTGTACTTCTTTAAAAACACATTAAAAAAAAAAAAAAAAGCAAAAAAAAAAAAAAAAAAAAAAAAAAAAAAAAAAAAAAAGTGCAAAAGTAAAAAAGCGTACAATGACGGAATTCCACTTATCTTTTTATCGGCTCTTAATTTAGGTCTTTGATTAATTTGAGTTAATTTTTGTATATGGAATAAGGAAGGGATCCTTTATTCTTTGCATTATTGTGGACATCCACCGTCCCAGGCATCGCTTTATGGAAGACTGTTCTTCCCTCACATACTGGTCTCAATATCCTTGGTCATTAAAAATCAACTAACCATACGTGTGAAAATTTGTTTCTAACCTTTTCTTATTGAAATGGTGTTTATGTCTGTTCTTATGCCAGTATCGCAGTTTTGATTACTGAAGGCTTGTAGGAAATTTTATTTTATTTATTTATTTATTTTTTTAATTTTTTTTTTTTTCAACGTTTATTTATTTTTGGGACAGAGAGAGACAGAGCACATGGAATGGGAGGCAGAGAGAGGAGACACAGAATCGAACAGGCTCCAGGCTCTGGAGCCATCAGCCCAGAGCCTGACGCTGGGCTCAAAACTCACGGATCAGCGAGATCGCGGATCTGGCTGAAGTCGGACGCTTAACCGACTGCGCCACCCAGGCGCCCTTGTAAGAAATTTTAAATCGGGAAATGTGAATCCCTCAACAACCCCACACGCACATTTCCCCCCCCCCCCCCCCCACTTCAACCACCCCCTGCCCAAGATTGTTTTGGGTATTCTAGGTCCTTGCAGTTCCATCTGAATTTCAGGATCAGTTTGTCAGTTTTAACATAATCAGCTGGGATTCTGCTAGGATTGCACTGTATCTGTAGATGCATGTTAACACTATTACCATTTTACCAATACTGAATCTTTGTATCTGTGAACTTTCTTTCAACGGTATTTTATAGTTTTCAGTGTACATATCTTACACCTCGTTGGTTAAATTTATCCTGAAGTATTTTATTCTTTCTAACACCATTGTAAATGGAATTATTAATTCCACTCTTGGTGGTTTAGAAAAATACAACTGATTTTGGTATATTGATTTCATGTCCTGCAACTTTGTGAACTTACTTGCTGTAGTAGTTTTTTATTGGTGATTCTTTAGGATTTTCTATATACAAGATGTCATCTCTGAATAAGATGGTTTAACTTTTTCCTTTACAATCTGAATGCCTTTTATGTCTTTCCTGAGTGAACTGTCCCAGCTAGAACTTCCAGTGCAATGTTGTATGGAAGTGGGAGAGAGGACAACTTTGTCTTATTTCTGATCTTAGGAGGAAAGCTTTCAGTCTTTCATCATTAAGTATGATGTGAACCGTGGGTTTTTCACAGATGGCCTTTATCAGGTTAAGGAAGTTCCTTTCTGGTCTTAGTTTGTTGAGTGTTTTTATCATGAGAGGGTATTGAATTTTGTCTAATGTTTTATGTGTGTCTATTGAGATGACGTATGGTTTTTGTTTTCTTATCCTATTGATATATGTATTACATTGATTTTAGGGTGTTGAACCAACCTTGCATTCTTAGAATAAATCCCACTTGGTCATGGTACATAATTGTTTCAGGATGTTGCTCAATTGGGGTTGCTAATATTTTGTGTGTATGTTTTGTTGTTCATTGTTGATGACTGTGGGTGTCACATGGTCCTCTGGGACCTCCTGGCTCTGTGACCACACGCCAGTCTGGAGGCGGGAGGGGAGGCTGGAATGCCCGCACATCAGGAGATACTTAGGAGGCTTTTGTTGTGTTTTGTTTCAGTTCGAGGAGTTACAACTACTCAGAGAATTCTGATTTGGTTCTTAGTGGCTGCCCAGGAAATCGGGATATTTTTTCCAGATTGCAGGTGAGCTAGAATATGTGAAACCCAGTGTTTCACTGCATCTATGTCATCTGCTATTAAGATTATTTTTATTTTTATTTTACAGAGAATGTGAGCCAGGGAGAGAGGTTTTTTTTGTTTTTTGTTTTTATTAATTTTGAGAGAGAGTGTACGCAAGTGGGGGAACGGCAGAGAAAGGGAGAGAGAGAGAATCCTCAGCAGGTATGCTGTCAGTGCAGAGCCTGATGCTGGGCTCGAACACACAAACCATGAGATCATGAACTGAGATGAAGTCAGATGCTTAACGACTGAGCCACCCAGGCGCCCCTTGGGAGAGAGAATCCTAAGCGGGCTCCACACTCAGCATGGAGTGTGATGTGGAGCTGCAGTCCACAACTCTGGGATCATGACCTGAGCCGAGAGTCGGACACTCAACTGACTTAGCCACCCAGGCACCCCAAGATGTTTATTAGAAATATCCGCAACGGGTCCTGAGGCTCCCCAGCAGAATGAAAACCAACATCGTGCATATAAGGTCCCAGACCCAGAGGGACAGTGTGCTCACTTCACCAGTGAGTATCACAAAAAATGCAGAAACAAAAGCTGTGGTGCCAGAACCATCTCCGGGCTTTGGGACATTTAAAATCTGAAAATAGAGGCAATTGAGCAAATAGCAGCTTCAGTAGTAACATGATTGCTCTGCACCGCTGTCTGCTTTTTAGCTCTTGGCTGCTCTGTTTGGATGCCAGCCTCTGAGAAATGATGTAGCTAGCCCCCCACTTGCCAAAGGAGGGCTCAGAGACTGTTCCACAGGGTCACCCCGCACCTCCACAGGCTGGCGGGTTCTCGTCACCGAGGCAGGCGCACTTAAGAGGGCGTGGAAATGGGGCTCTCGTTTTGAAATGAAAAGTATAGTTTTCCAGTCCGAGTACCTGTTCGTCTCGGGTCTTTTCAGGGTGCTTAAAGTCGGGCCCTGTGAGTGGGCTCTGGGGTCAAAGTGCAGACCGTGCTCGCTCTGGTTCCATGTCCACAGCGTACACGGGGAATCTGTACCTCTGGAAGTACACGGGCAGCTCCTCGTTAACAGGATTCTGAGTGTGGATTTCGCGCTTCCTCGTGGTGTTTCTGCTTTCCAGGTGCTTGAATAGAGAGAATGTGGGGAGTGACCGAAGCCATGGAGGGGGAGGTCTGGAACAGGGGGGAAATGTACCTACCAATGAATAAAACATCCCACAAAGAAGAGCCCCCAGCCCCCTCATCTTGCCCTTCTGTCCGCCGCATCCGTCCTAACTGGCTGTGGTGGGGGGGTGAGCGGGGAGGGCAGACAGTGCATCCTGGGGCTTGGGGTCACGTGTGGCAGGGACGATGCTTTGAAGTGGGTGCTTGGCTTTTTCTGTCTCTACGTCTGAATGTGCGCAGACACCGCACACACTTTGTGCTTTCAGTCTACAGGCATTTATTGAGTGCCTGCTGTGTACGTGCCTCCCGTCCGTAATTCGTCCTCAGATTATGTGCACGCACACACCTGTGTGTAGTAAAAGAGCAAATGATAAACAGTAAAATGTTAGCCATCGGTGAAACTGGGTAACGGTGTTCTTTGTACTGTTCTTGTTCTATTTTTGCATCTTTTCAATGATTTCCAAGTAAAAACGCTTGTCCCGGTCATTCCTAGCTCCTCTTGGGAGACTCCCCCAAGCCCACCCAACCTCATTTCAGAGTCCTGACTGGGGCTGACCGTCAGCCCTGAGGACTTCCTGCCTTCGCTCTTGGGGACGACCACCTGGAGCCAGCGATAAAAGTACGTGACGTGACCGTTTTGGTCTTGCTTTTTCCAGGAGATGGCTGCCGGCCTGGAGCAGGGCCCGGGGGCACCCCGCAGTTGCTCTCCTCCTCAGGGGCACTTCCTTTTCGGAGTTTTCCGCAGACGGCTCCAGGCGCTGGCAAGCGGGTGGGATGTGGCCGCCCGCCTTCGGAGACAGCGGGAGCTGCTTGTGTACAAATGGTAACACAGCCCCGTGGAGAGATTCTGTCTTAAATTGAATTTCTTTTCCATCGGTGACTTGTTTCCGTCCCCTCTCCCCAGCCTGTGACGGCGTCTTCTCCTTGGTGTTCCCATGGAGATCAGGGTTTGAAGCTTTGCGTTAAAGCCTTCCTCTTCAGACTCAGGAGCTGCTTTGCTGGAAGCTGTAGCCTAAAGAATTCATGTCAAAATAAGGAAAACCCCGTGTGCCCACAGATAGTCACTGTCGCCACATTTATGAGTAGGAGATCACGTCATTTCTGAGTTCTAGGGAATAGCTTGGTTAGACTGTGGGGCACCTCTTACTTGGCTATTGCACAGCTTAAAAATGGGTCGTGGGGTAAGACCTCGTGCATGTCGGCAGTGGGTCCAGCAAGGCACAGTCCCAGGGAAGGCCTCCAGTTCCGGGAGCGGGTAGGGAGGGTAGTTACAGACCACAGCCCGAGCTCCCAGGGAGCGATGTGAGGCCAGGCCATCGCTGTTGACGCAGCTCTTTTTTGCCAGGATCCTCCTTGGTCTGCCCCCGTCTGTTGTCGTCGGCCGCCCCCAGGCCGGCCGGCCAGCCGCCCCTGACTGCACCGAGTTCTTCCACTTGGTCAACTCTGAGCTGGTAGGTGTGGGCGAGTGACCGTGGGACCCGGGGACGGGGGCGATCGATCACTGGTTCTCGAAAACTCACGAGCGCATCTGTGGTCACTTGGAGCCGGTCACTTGAGTGTGTGTCGGACCACGTGGGATTACTGAGGGAAAGAATGGGGTACTGCTCCGGGAGCCAGCAGTCGGGGCCTCTGTGTGCCCAGCCTCCTCCCACAGCCGGAGCCGGGGCCAGCGAGGCGCAGGCATCGGATGTGGCTCCCTTCCTCGACAGCTTCAGTCCTTTCCGGAGCTCTCCTCAACTTTCAGCCGCCAGGATCCGTGGAGTCTTGCACACCACGTGTCTCTGCTGCTTTCTAGTTTTGACATTTCGGGGGCACAGAAGCCAGAGGTGCCGCGAGGACCACGGGTCCCACCAGTCTGCCCTGCTTCCGGCGTCCACACTGCTCAGTGTCGGGGGCTCCACGAACTTAAAGTGTCTTTTTACTTCTTAAAAATGTACAAATATGACTAGAGCTTGAACTGAGGCCCTGTTCTGTCACAGCTTTAAAAGGTGACTTAGAAGTCCGGGGAGATGAGACTAGGTGTTCTTTGGGTTCTTAGCAAAGGCTGCTTTCCTCAGAGCTCTCAAAAGGGCCCGTGAAGGCTGGCAGATGTGGAAACGGGCAGGACAGAGACGCAGACGAGGGGTGGAGAGGCGAGTTGCCATCCTGGCAACAGGGCCGTCAGAGTGCCGTCCTCACCTCCTGGGCCGTGTCGGGGCCGAAGTGGGCAGGCTGGGGGTCTCTGGCTGCACGGAGGAGCCACGTGAAGAGGCACTGAGCCATGCACATTCTGGGCCAGCATGCCCGAGGACAAAAGGCCAGATCTCTGGTCAGCAGTGGTGCTGTGACCCGGCTGCCATCTTCAAGGCGTGTTCGCACAGCTGGAGTCTGTCAGCAGACCCCCCTCCTCCCCCCACCACCGCCGTCGGTTCCTTTCTCACTGGCTTATGCTGTTTTGCAGAGAAACTTCTCCCATGGAAGCGCACTGACCCACGACCTCACAGTCCACTTCTTCAGGGTAACTGTCTCCCTCTGCGCCTCCCCAATCGCCTGCTCACACCAGTTGGGCCACATCCTCTCACTTGTGCTTTGAGGCCACGGCGTCTTCCAGGGCCGGGGTGTACGTGCAAACCGCTGAGCTTCTGGAATGTTCTCTCCTCCAGGGGCTCCTCAGTGCCTGTTCACAAAGTGGAGACCCCTCCCTGACAGCAGACCTGGTCCTGACCGCGTGCCAGACTGAGTGCCCCCTAGTCCTGACCTCTGCACTGGTAGGCACGGCCGTCTGCTCAGGGCGCTCCCGGGGCTGGCATGGTGATCGGGGACCCAGTTCTTGTCATGTGGGAGAAATGGGGGGAGGGGCGAATAGAACCCAGCAGAACATAGGAGGGCAGGCTTCCCTGCCTGTGCCTGCCGGGAGGGAACGCGGGTGTGGGTTCACTGTGGTTCCGCGTTGGCACAAGGCGACCCCTAGTTGCCTGTGGTCCCCCACCTCAGTTTCCCGTTCCGCCAGACCACGGTCTCGGGGCTTCAGAGAGGCGCTCAGCCTGGCCCTCACGTGGCCTGACGTTCTCGGGTTAAGAGCGTAGGCTTCTTTCGGGTGTCTTTTTAAGTTTATTTTGAGAGAGAGAATCCCAGGCAGGCTCCACGCTGTCAGCACAGAGCCCACCGCGGGGCTCCATCCCGCGAACCGTGGAGATCACAACCCGAGCTGAAATCCAGAGGCCCCCCCGGTGCCCTGTGCTCTTAGATTCCTGACAACAGGCAGCTGCCCTGGTTTCGTCAGCTGGAGCCCAGGCTCTGGCAGCCACAGGAGCCGAGCTGCCGCGCCCCCGAGGGTCTCCACTTTTCTCTTAGTCTGTGGCTCATTTGGGTGGCGTTCCCTGCAAGAGCCGTGGCGGGTGTCAAACACCCGCTCCGTCGTGTCATCTGCAGAGGAAGAGAAACCCCTCCTGGCACTGCCGTGGACCCAAGTGCACGGGGCACCACCCGAAGGCCGGAGGCGTGGGCGGGACATGCGCCGCGCTGAGCGGTGCCCGCCGGCGGGTGGGCTCCGGTCTTCAGTGGTCACCTGAGGGTTCAGCATCTTGGCTGCGGGACTGAGGAGGTGTCCGGGTAGAGCCTCCCGGGACCCGCTCACTGGTGATCTCTCTCCTCTGGAAGTTGTGGTGGCCACGTCTGGAGCCCGAACTCCGTAGTCGGTGGAGGAGATGCCTCCAGGGCCCACTGCCCCAGGAGCTGCAGAGACTGTGGGAGGCCCAGCGGTTTGGCAGGAGGTAAGAGGGACGAGGGGACGGGGCGTGGCTGTTCTTTGGGACCCGCCCTGGGTTATCTCCATGGACACGTTGGCCTTGACAGGCCATAAGGACAGGTCTGCCAAGAAAGGGAAGAAACAGACGCGACCTAGCAGGTTCCTGTCTGAGAAGCTCGAGAATGTTTCGGGAAAGACTGATGTTAGCAGGCCCCTGCCCAGCTTTGCTGCCCACCTACGCCCCTCCTCTCCTCTTACGCCTGCAGTCGGCCCAGGACTGACAGTGTCGGCATCACGGGGATGTGTTCGAGAGGCAGATCCGGTCTGCCCAGCTGGCGGTCTCCGGTGCCCGCTGGACTGGGGGACAGCGGTGTTCCTAGAGGCAGTCAGGAGGAGCTCACCCCACCCAGCCTCCTTTATCCCCGAGGTGCCCCGCGTACCGCTCAGGGTCACGAGTGCCTGAAGTCCCAGAAGACCAGGAAGGCCAAATTCCTGCATTATATCCCATTCATTTTTGGCCTGGTTTTGAACCTGCTGGAAACCCTTTCTGGGAGAGAACCCAAGGGTCTGAGTGGCGGGGTCCAGGTCAGAGGCCTGTGCATCGCAACCCTCTTGCAAAGCTCAGCTAGTCGGGACCAGGTGCTCTGGCCGGGCCCCACCCGTCCCCATGTCCACAGCACAGAAGCCCGTTAAGGAGATGGGAAACCCGTCTCTAAGCCAGGGACGAGCCTGACACAGGCATAGGGCTCTGCCGGGGGTTGCTGGGGACACAGACCTTGTTTCTGCTGGCTCTGAAGCCCCTCCCTGCACGACGTGAAGGTGGGCAGGGCTGGCGTCCTGACAGTTACGGGACCAAGGACTGGAGGTTTTCGACCACGACGGGGTTTTGAGGCTTCTGTGGTGACACACGTCCCTATCTCCTAGCTGCCTCCTCCCTGACACGGCATCCCCTGCGCCTGGCCCGGCCTGGCTCTCTGCTGCCGCACTTTACTTCGAAATCCAGCGAGCCGGGAAAGACAGCGTCAAGAGCCAGCTGGAGAGGCTGGGCTGCCAAGGAGAGGAGGCAAGATACGAAATTCTCTCACTTGTCTTTTCTGGCAAGCTTGCTTCTGACCCGTGCTCTGACCAGCTGCGTTTCTCATGGTTCACCTGAACTGGGCTTTTCCAAGGAGAGACAGGAAGGGCGGGGTCGTCCTGACTTGATGAGGAAGTGAAGTTTACCAGGTTGACAGGTTTAGTGATACTTGACCATCAAGTTCCCTTTTGATCTTACTCGTGTCCTCTCCACAAGCCGCTGCCCCGCGGGGCCTTCTGCGCTCCTGTTTGCACAGCCGGGGTCCCTCCAGGGTCTCCCCAGCTAAAGCACTGGTAAACTGGAAAGTCAGAGCACCCGGCCAGGGTGGGGGTGGGGGGGATGTTCAGTCGCTTAAGCGTCTGACTCTTGATTTCAGCTCAGGCCATGATCTCAGGGTTCCTGAACTCAAGCCCCGCCTCCATCGGGCCCTGTGCTGACAGCGTGGAGCCTGCTTGGGATTCTCTCTCCCTCTCTCTGACACTCCCCCGCCTGCACGCTCTCTCTCTAAATAAACCTAAAAGTCAACCTGTCCAGGCTCTGGACGTACACACCTGCCTGAGGTTTTTGGTAACTATAATTTAATGTGGAAAAACCCACAAGGGAGTTTCTTCTAAGTTTATTTTATTGAAAGTGATTTTAGTGGCTCCAAGTCTCCCAGGCCTGTGTGAGCTGAGGGGACAGTGTCCAGACAGACCCCACCCAGCCAGGGTGTGTTCCAGCGGGTTGTGGCAGGTGGGCCCCTGCCTCTGGTCAGGGTGGGACGTGTGGGTTTTTCTCTAGGGATTTTATAAACTTCTCCACAAGAAGCTAAGGAGTGAGGCTGGGCTGGGCGTAGTGCCCTGCAGCTCAGGGACAGCAACAGCCTGGTGTTTCACTGCTCTCACTTGTGCAAGCCGTGTTTAAAGACTCATATAAAATGACCCAGTCGGTAAAAATTTATTCTCGAATTGTCTCTTTAAAATTTTTCTTCATAAGATCCACTTAGAGGAAAAAAAGAACAATGTCCTTACTTAGAATTACTTTTTGAGGATACAATGTAGGGAATTTTATTTAAGTTTATATATTTATTTTGGGGGAGGGAGAGAGAATCCCAAGCAGGCTCTGAGCTGTCCATGCGGAGCCCACACGGGGCTTGATCCCATGAACCGTGAGGTCCTGAGCTGAGCCGAGCCATGAGGCGCCCCAGGAATTTAAGTGCACCTGCTTTGTTTGCAGCTGCTGGTGTTCCTGTTTTTCTTTTCCTTAATGGGCCTGCTTTCATCACATCTGACCCCACACGGAAGACCTCGTCAGGTAAGGTGACCTTTCCCACCGCGGGCCTGCATGACACCCCTGAGACCTCCTCAGTAGGGTGTCTGGGAGGACAGCCCCGGAACCTCTGTCTTGAAGGGTTTCTCAAAAGCGAGAACCCCTAGACCTGTCCTTTGAGGTCTTACTTCAGGACTCAGGCACGAGGGTCCCTGGCCTGTTCCCCCTAGTCACCATTTAAGGCTCACAGGACACACGAAGGCTCCCCAGCGTGTGTGGCTGTGCGGATACTCACGACCTTCTAGTCAGCCTCCCTCTTCTGTGGGCCACAGGCTGTTGACACCCCGAAGGCTTTGGACATTTGTGCTGAGATTCTGGGGTGTTTGGAGAAGAGGAGGGTATCCTGGCTGGTGCTCTTTCAGTTGACAGAGACAGGTAAGAGGCCACTGAGACTTGATAGCAGGGGACGACGGCCTGCGTCTGTCCTAGTTAGCCATCCAGGAACACAAGTGACCCAGCAGAGAGACAGGTTGTGATCCCCACTTCTTAATCTTTCTTCAGAAATAACTTTCAGATGATTAAGAACGGGACCTTGGGCCTGACTTTACTAACTCATTTCCCAAAGTGTATCTTCTTGCCAAATACACAAGCCACATCTTGGGATAAATGCAGAATAAACTCATTGAAAGGACAAAAGAATCCCATGGGGGTGCTGAGTCCCAGGGTGCCGCTAGGCCTTCAGGTTGGGGACAGGGGGTCTGCCTGCCTCCGCCACCAGCCCTGCTCTTCCAGAATGAGGACGTCGCCCCTCGTCGCCAGGCTCCTGACGTTCCGTGAACGTGCCGACCCTAGGGTAGGCGGGCACCCACGGAGCTGACTAAAGCCATCCCCTCTCGGTGTTGCAGGTGGCGGCCTGGGCCACGTCCTCCTCCGCCTGGCCCCAGATCAGTATGTCAGACTGCTGCCGTTCGCCTTCTACAGGTAACTGCACTGACTTCCCGGGTTGCTGCCAGAGCGATCCGGGAAGGAGTTCGTGCCCGCAGGGTCGTGCGTGGTCAGAGGAGGTGGTCCTCCCCGTCCCCCGGCCCTAGATCTCAGTACCACGGCGTGTCTCCCTCCAGACGGGAAAGATGCCTGTGACGTCATTCCTCAGATGAGCAGCTGCCGTGCTGATTGCCACTCACCTCTGTGAGGTCTTAGAGTCACTTGTGTCTCCTTATCTTCAGCCTTCTCTCCTACTTTGACGAAGACGCCCTCACCAGGGAGGATGCCTTCCTGCACGTTGCCGTCGACATGTACCTAAAGCTGATCCGTCTCTTCGTGGCCGGGGAAACCAGTGCACTCTCCACCGTAGCCAGCAGGAGCCGGGAGCGCCGGGGCCAGGCAGGTGACACGCCTCACAGCCCCGTGCAGCCAGCTCTCCGGGGCTTGAGGCCTGTGACAGCCCAGCCCCTACTGGCACGGTGAGCAGATGAGGGCATCCTAACTCATCACGGGATCCCCTGACCTGTGGCTTTACCTGTCCTCTCTTCAGGGTGACCCTGTCGGCTTGATAACAGAAGCTCGTCGTTTTCTGCTGCGGTCAATACCTAGATGCCCAAAAGAGAGCTTCTCAAACGTGGCCGAGGTAACACGCAGACGCTCACTCTGGTGTGTGTGTCGAAGAGCAAACGAGAGTGCTGTAGATACAGCACTTCCATTAAGAGGACAACCCGGGGGTGCGGCACTTGCACTGTGGCCACTTACCTGCTGGGCTGTGGTTGCTAGCTTCCCTGTCCCCAGGCCCCGGGTGTCTGGGGGCTGCACTCGGCTGAGCACAGTCGGTTTCTTGCAGCTGCTGGCCACCAGTGCGGACTGTGACCCGGACGTGAGGGCCGCCCTCCTGAGCAGACAGCAGGCCGGGCCGGATGCCGACCTCTACCGGGAGCCCCGGCTCTTCTGACTGGACCCTGTGCGGCGCACAGCCCGGCTCCTTTGTAAATAATTTATTACGAGCATAACACGGAGCTCTTGCACTAGAAAGTGGATTACAAATCTCCTTGATTGCTTTAGTGGGGAATAGGAATCAATGATTTAAAATCCATCTGGCCCCAAGGTCAGTATCGTGGGTAAATGCTGGTCCCAGAGCGGACGCTGGAAAGGCTACAGGAGTTGCACGGTGAGCCCCCCTTCACTGTACTGCTGTCCAGTGCCCTCCTGACACACAGGTGAGGGGACACGGCATGGGGGCTCCAGGGCAGCGGGTGAAGCTGTGCCATCAGGTCTCAAATGAAAGAACTATCGAAACCGTCTAAACCCCATTTACCCGCCTGAGTTCAGGTGGGCTCAGGCTTCACAGCCTGGCCCTCCGTAGTCCCACATGGTGGCTCCAGGGACAGGGCCTTGTCCTGGGTCTGCGTCAGAGGGTGGACCATGGACATGTGCACATTGAGGTTGTGGGCCTTCTCGAACCGCCGGCCACACTGGTCACAGGCAAAATCCAGCTCGGTCTCAGCCTTGTGTTTAGTCATGTGGTACTTCAAGGATGCCCGCTGCCGGCACTGGAACCCACAGACTTCACACCTGGGGGACAGGGCCAGGTGAGCAAGGGCGTGGGTGCCAGAAGCATGGCCATGCGGAGGTGTGCCCATCCCCACACTTACTGCAGAGGCTTGGCTCCTGAGTGGCGCATCTGGTGGACGAGAAGGTGTTTCCGCTGCTTGAAGGTCTGGCCACACTCATCACAGATATAGTTCCGCACCTCTGGGGACCAGAGAGGACCAGAGATGGCATGAACACAGGCACGAAAATGCCCAGCCCTCCCCGGGAGCCTGGTGGCCCAACGTGGTGTTTTCCTTACACTCAAGGCCCAAGCAAGGGGCCTGTGCAAATCTAATTTTATTCAGAGATTAAAAAAAGTTTTTCAAATCTGAGAGAGGGGAGAGAGAATCCCAAGCCGGCTCCATACAGTGTCTGCACAGAGATACAGTGTCTGCACAGAGCCCGACACGGGGCTCCAACTCCTGAACCGTGAGACCATGACCCAAGCGGAGATTGTCAGATGCCTAATCGACTGGGCCACCCAGGCGCCCCAATGAGAAACATTTCTAATACAGAGTTTCTTACTAATAAGAGAGCCCTCCAAATTGCTTGAAAATGTCATCTCGCTGGGACTTCCTCTTCATCAGATGGGTCCATCTGAAGCCTGTTTTCCTCAAGGGAAACTAGATCCGCTGAGCAGAAGTTCCTCGAGGAAGCCCAGTCTATAAAGCTTCACAGACGACTGCCACCTTACAAACTCTACAGACCATACTGGGCCCTTGGTGGGGGAGGGGATGTCTACTTTGGAGATCAGTTTCTTAGGCTCTTGGACAAAAACTGAACAGTCCCTTCTCCTGGACATGCACCTGGGGTGGTGGCCACGAGCTTCTGCCTCACTGCCATTTCCAATCCCACCTGCTCAGTCATCTACAAGCACCTGACACAGCTTCCCACACGGGCTTGTCCTGTGCTAGGTACGATCCCCCTTTACAGCTTAGGCTCTCTTCTCGGGTGTTTCAGGAAAACTGCTAATGGTTGTGATCACTGGTGTCTCGACTGAGACCAGCAGCCTGAAGACCCAATTTAAGGGAATGACCAACAAATATGACCCAACCATAAAATGGGCTCAGTGAAAAAAGTAAACCAGAATGACTTCCTACAGTAAATTTTTTTTTTAAGTTCTGGGGCACCTGGGTGGCTCAGTTAGTTAAGCATCCAACTTCGGCTCGGGTCGTGATCTCATGGTTCGTGGGTTCGAGCCCCACGTTGGGCTCTGCTGACAGCCCAGAGCCTGGAGCCTGCTTCAGATTCTGTCTCTCTCTCTGACCCTCCCCCGATCATGCTCACTCACCCTCTCTCAAAAATAAACATTAAGAATAATTTTCTTTAATTTTGAGAGAGGGAGAGAGAGAAGCCCAAGCAGGCTTCATGCTGTTAGTTCAGAGTCTGATGTAGGGCTCGATCCCATGAACCATGAGGTCACGGCCTGAGCCGAAATGGAGTCAAGACACTCAACCAACTGAAACGCCCAGGTCAGGTGCCCCTACCGTTAAGTTATGTGTACAATTACAGTTTAGGGATAAATACAGATTCAGGGGGCACCTGGGTGGCTCAGTCGGTTAAGCGGCCGACTTCGGCTCAGGTCATGATCTCGCAGTGAGTTCAAGCCCCACGTCAGGCTCTGTGCTGACAGCTCAGAGCCTGGAGCCTGTTTCCGATTCTGTGTCTCCCTCTCTCTCTGCCCCTCCCCCGTTCATGCTCTGTCTCTCTCTGTCTCAAAAATAAACGTTAAAAAAACTTTTTAAATACAGATTCAGTGCATCAATCTTCCTTTTCCTCCTTAATAGACTTGTTTTTTTATTTTTGAGAGCAAGCAAGAGCATGAGGAGGCAGAGGGGGAGAGAAGCCCAAGCAAGCTTTGCGACACAGGGATCGCCCCGAGCTGAAATCGAGGATTGGGTGCCCGACTGACCCAGGCGTCGGTCTTTTAAAGGGGGTGCTGCCAACTCAGGAGAGCGGCTCTGTGACCAGCAGCAGTGGTCGGAATCCGGCACACGTGTAGCTCTGGGTTTTCTAAGACCTGGGGGTGTGGGTCACGTCGTTAAAACTGGAGGGGAATCAAACCGTGACGGATGCGCGGGGTCGTCACGTGCAGAAAAGGCACTGGGGTTTCCTCACTGCCGGTTCCAGCCGCTTCTGCCTGACCCACGAGGCGGCCAGACACGGCCCCAGGCCTCTGGGAAGGGCGGCTGGCCCACGGGCCCGTGGAGGTGAGCGTGTGCCAGAGCAGGGCCCGTACCTGTGTGGATCAGCTTCACGTGGCGCTGCAGGTAACGATCGATCATGAACACCTTGTTACAGCCGGGGTGGGGGCACGGCCTCTCCCGGACCTCCTCGTGGTGCTCCTTTATGTGCTTCTGCAGGGGCGACAGCAGGGCCCTGAGCGCCCCGGCCGGGACGGTCACCCCCTCCCACGGGTCCTGCGCGGCCCCCTCAGAGGAAGAGATGCAACCACTCCTCACGCGACGAGAGGCGGGTGCTTTTCCCAAGAGCGGAGGGCTCCCCTGGGCCCCGGCCCGCGTGAGCCCTCGGCTACAAGTCTACACCGGGCTCCACGCAGACGTCCGGTCCTCCGGGTCAGCTACAAAGGCCGCCCCGCGCCCAGGGCGCCGCCCCTCCTCACCTTCATGCCGTCGGCCCCGCGGTACACGGCCGTGCAACCCTGGTAAGGGCACTTGTAGATGGTGGGCAGCTCCTCCCTGCAGAGCACGGCACACGTGGAGTTGCCGCCTCGACAGGCGACCTCCCCGCCCCGACCCCTTACCCCCCACCCCAGGCCATCACCTCTCACAGCGAAGCTTGTTCTTCCAGCCCGGCTTGGGGCCCGGTTTCTTGCGCATTTTTGGTTCTTCAGCCTTCTTGGCTTCTTTGCTTTCGCTCTTTTTACCAGAGACCCTGTGAGGGGAAAAGAAAAAGAGACGTCATCAGACTCCGAGATGCTTCTCCCTCCTCAAACGGGAGAGGTGGGGCTCCTGCCAGGCTCCCACGGCAACCTGCTTGCGTCTCCGTGCTCACTGGTGGCCTTCGGACCGACCCCTGGGCGCCAGGGCGGGAACAACCCCCAGCAAAGTCCCAGACTCCGTACTGCCACCTCGGGAAGGCGAGGTGTGGGGACGGGGACCACGCTAGCTACAGGAGGAGGTTTTCAGGACAAACTTCACTCCTGAAACGTCAGAACCAAACGTTATTTGGAGACGTCATGCTAAACAGTGAAGTGGAGAAGCTTTAGGGGTCAGTCCCCCCATCAAAACGACCACTAGGCTAGAAAAACATCAGAACCAACACTCTGGAACCCGCTGGGAGGCACACAGCTCCAGGAACCAGGCGGGGGCTCAGAGGGAGCAGTGTGGTCTTGGGGACAGAGCTGTGAGCGGGCAGTGAGGACCTCGCAGTCAGTCTGGCAGGTCCCTGAGGGACCAGTTCAGGCCCAGCAACTAATCCCCTGTGGGGTCTAGTGAAGATTTAAAGAGACATGTACACTTTTTCTTCCCACTTGTTCGATCCGGGCATTTAAGGAAAACTGTCGAGAACAACAGGGAACTTGAAGGGCGTTATATGGCAAGTGTAGAGCTAATGTCATCCTCAACGGTGGAAGATTCAAAGCCTTGCCCTCAGATCAGGACCAAGTAAAGGTGCCCGTTTTCACCACTGCTATTAGAAGATTACCCCTATGCACAAACGATATGATCTTGTGTGTAGAAAACCCTGAAGAATCCACACACGCAAAAATAAACAAGTTCAGCAAAGTGGCAGGGTACAAAATCAACACACAAAAGCTAGTTCTACCTCTACACGTTAACGGTGAACAAAATGGAAAGTTTTTAAATAACTCATTTGCAACCGCATCAAAAAGAAGAAAATACTGTACTTAGGGACAAACTTAACCAAGAAGATGAAAACCTGTATGCTAAAAACCGCAACACACCGCTGAAAGAAATTAAGACCTAAGTAAGTGCAAAAACATCCCGCGTTTATGGACTGCAGGATTTAATATTGTTAGGATGGCATTACTTCCCAAGCAATCTACAGATTTGATCCCTATCAAGACCCAGTGGTGTTTTTTGCAGAAACAGAAAAAGCTATTCTGTTTCACACAGAATTTTAAGGGATACGGAATAGCTTAATAATTCTGAAAAACAAAGCGGGAGGACTCAAACTCCCTAATTCTAAAATTACAAAGCTACAGTAATCAAAACCGTGTGGTTCTGGCACAGAAAAACAGACATAAAGACTAACTGAACAGAACTGAGAGACCAAGTATAGACCATCACAAGAAAAACAAACTGATTTTTGACAAGGGTGCCAAGACTACTCAGTGGGGAAAGGACAGTCTCTTCAACATATGGTGCTGGGCAAACTGGATGTCCACAGTCCAAAGAATGCAGGTGGGCCCTTCCTTTCCAACGTACGTGACCTAACGGACCAAAGACCTACACATAAGAGCTAAAACGCTCAAACTCTTAGAAGAAAACGCTACCTTTGATGTGACAACAGTTTCTTAAATGTGACATCAAAGACAAAGCAATACAGGGGCACCTGGATGGCTCAGCTAAGTGCTCCGACTGGCTCAGGTCATGATCCTGTGGTTTGTGGGTTCAGGCCCCGCATCGGGCTCTGTGCTGACAGCTCGGAGCCTGGAGCCTGCTTGGGATTCTGTGTCCCCCTCTCTCTCTGCCCCTCTCCCGCTCATGCTCTGTCTCTCTCTCTAAGATGAATAAACGTTAAGAATTTTTTAAATAAATAAAAAGAAACTCTCTGATGACCTTACAGGCTTCTCCTCTTCTCCTTCTCTAACAACTGTTCTTTGAGGCTTTGCCGTGTGTCCCCTCCTCATTGGCCTCCACCCTCTTTTGTGCGGCTCAGGCACCCTGTCAGAGCCACACTGTGACCAGGGAGTCACCATTTCTCTCCCACGCTAGATCACACATCTGTTGAGAGCAGGCGGCTTCAGAGAGCCCGTGGGTTCACAAGTGCGTCCTTGACGGGTATGGGCTGAAGTCCTTGGAGACACTGGAGGACCCTGCCCTTTGCTCTCCCTTTCCTCCCCCTCGGTCACTCAGGCTCCTGACTCTCACTTCTCACCAGAGCCGCGGGGCCCTAATTAACACATCCTAAGTCCCTTCTTATCTGCCCCAGCTAAGGACCCAGACAGGTATGTCTGCTGAAACAAAGTCTTGTGCACCAGGGAGGCTCAGAGGCCCTGTCCCAGGTTTCCAGTTGTGACTCACACTGTAGTACCTAAGGGACAACGTGGCCATCGGGCCTGAGTGTGCTGGCTCCGAGCTGTGGTCAGCCCACTCCAGCTGGCCCCACCTCTTGCAGAGCCTGGCTTCGGTTTCTCTTTCCACAGCCACATCAGAGCCCAAAGGAGAAGGAAAGTCAGGCTGGCTTCTGTTTCTGGGCTGCATCCTCCTGGGTGATACTGTTGCACTCTCGTGTTTTTATTCTACTGTGAAATGCTCCTAACGCTCAGGTGGGGCAGCAATTATGCGCAGGTGTTCTGGGTGTTCCTGGGCATGAGGTTGGGAGAAAAGTGACCCAAGTAAACATCAGCCTTCCCTACCAGGATGTTACATCCAGAGAGAAAACCCAAATCTCGCAAAAGGGAAGGTCAAGACAAGGCCACAGAAGCAACTCTCCAAGGAGGTGGCACAGAAATCAGTGCCAGAGGCAGATCTGAGAGGAACTGCAGGGCTGGGGCCCGAGCCTCTGAGGGCCTTGCTTGGCACAGAGGCAGAAAGAACTGCAGGGTGGAGGTTACTGTAGGAAATCCGTGGCCGACGGGAGACACTAGTGTGGTGTGACCGAGGGTTAGGGCTGGCAGAGAGGAAGGCGGGAGCTCCCCGAATGAGGCTGAGTCACAGCCACAGGCCTCCTGCCACTGTCACGTGCCACTGAGACCGGGTCCTAACACTGAACGAGGAAAGCCTCCCCACCCCCCAGAAGCCACACTCAACGGGCTAAGGGGGTCAGGCCAAAGAGCAGCAGAAAACGTGCTGAGCGAGGGCAGGCCGGGAAGGATGAGCCTCCGTCCCCTGCCCCCACTACCCCCGCCCGGTGACCCTACCAGGCAGACGTAGGTTTCTAGGCTCCCAGTGATGCCCCTCCCAGACCCCAAGGACACGCGGCAGGACTGTCCTCCTTACTTCTTTTCTGGGTAAGGTTCAAAGGATTCATCTGACGACTGGGTGCTTTGCTTCTTGTCATTTTCGTCTTCACTCAGGATGTCTCTAGGGAAGAAGAGAGCACCTTCAGCAAAGGCCTGGGGTGCGTGACAGCTCCAGTGACACTTCCTGTCTACAAACACCACCAAATCTCCATACTCCATGTTTTAGCTCTCCTGAAAAGGTCTGAAGAAACCTAAAATCCCCAAATCTCTGATCACATCTCCTAACAGAAAGGGCAGGCAGGCCAGGGTCACTTAAGTCCCGCAAGCCGACAATCCCCCAGAAGCCACACTCCCTTCACACCAGGACCCTGAACTTGTAGAGTCTCTCTCTGGGGCCCCAGGCAGCACAGGAAGACCTCAAGGAAGTGGGCTTCTCCAGAAGTGGATGTTTAGATTATGAGGCACCTACTCCCCCTGACTGGAAGCACCTATCCAGCTGACAGGTCAGATGTCAGCTGGCCACCTTGCAAAGTCACAAAGGCCAGAAAAATATCTGCGTATCCATGACCTTTACCCTCGAGTGTGAGTAACCGCACAGTCTCTGCAGGGCAGCAGACGGAACGAAGCCTGGCAGGGCACGGCCTTCCCCCGCAGGCCACCACTCATCTGCACGAGACTCGAGGCTGGCCGGCGGCCTCTAGGACAGCCTGCGACCACTCCTGGTGCCGGGGGTGTTTCTAGCAAACCCACTTGGGTTCTTCCAGCATCTTGTTCACCATCGACAGACACCCCACGGGAGTCGTGCCACAAATCGTGCTGTCCTTCTCCCTGTTTGGACAAGGGTGCACCTGCGTTCCAGCCACAGATTACGTGGCAGTGTGGAAAGGGGGTGAAGGCCGGCCAGTGTGTGGCAGCCACCATGAGTGGTTCTCAGCTGACAAGCAGGAGGCGGTCCCAGCAGCGAACAGGCCCCAACAGTGGCTCGTCCTCCTTACAGAGCCTCCGCCCCAAGT